CTTATAAACCGATTAAGCGCGGCGGCCATCCCGGCCAGATGCTGCACGTCCTTAGCCGAGCTAGGCTGCTTCAACTCTTGCACGGCTTTGATCTGAGTAGGGTTTGCTTCGATGCCTCGGTTCGTGACTAAGAACCCCAAAAATTTTCCAGATCCCACGCCAAAGGCACACATTCGATGCATTCAAGCGCAGCTGGTGCTTCTTTAAAATGGCAAACATCTCGGCTAAGTGGACAAATGGTTTGCCTCACGTCGGCTCTTTACCACCATATCATCGATTGAAGCCTCCATTGTACGGCCGAGCAAAGGAGCAAACATTTTGGTCACCATCCTCTGAAAGGTTGCCCCGGCGTTCTTCAAACCAAAAGGCATGACTCGGCTAGCAGAAGAGTCCCCTCAGAGTCGTGAAAGAGGTGATCTCTCGGATCAGTGGCTTACATGCATGTATGGTGGTAGCCGCGGTAGGCATCTAAGAAACTGAGCCTAGTATGTCCAGCCGTCAAGTCCACAAGCTGGTCAATTCGCGGCAAAGGGAAGCTATCTTTGGGACAAGCTCGGTTGACTGTCTTATAGTCGACACAAACTCGCCACTTTCCATTCTTCTTCGGCACCACTACTGTGTTGGAAATCCACCGAGGGTAGTGCACTTCCTGAATTGCTCGTGCCTCCAACAGGTTCTTCACCTCCTCTGCAACTACCTCGGCGTGATGCAGTGCCGATCTCCTCATGCGCTGGATGACTGGTTTTGCTTCAGGGAAGACATTGAGGTGATGGCAGATGAAACTTGGATCGAGGCCAGGCATGTCGTAAGGCGACCACGCGAAAACTTCGATGTTGGCCATCAAAAACTCAACCATCTCGGTCCTTTCTATCGAAAACTCCGGACAAGTTCTTCTTGCTCGGCTGTTCTGTATCAATTCGCACCTCAACCAATTCCTCAACAGCCTTGTCTTCGGCCCTGGTGCCCACATCATCCAAGACACCCTGGTCCTCCGGTCCCTCAATCATTTGAACGAATCCTTTGGCAGCCCGGCTTCCGTTGACGGCCACGAAGCACTGCTTGGACATGACCTGATCACCCCAAATCTCCTCGATTGCCCCCATAGCCGAGGGGAATCTCATCACCTGGTGGTAGGTCGACGCTACAGCTCGCATAGCGTGAAGCCATCCCCTTCCAAGGATAAGGTTGTACGTCGAAGGCACTTGTAGCACCCAAAACTCCACTTGCTTGACCACGGATCCCGCTTTAACCGGCAGGATAATCTTTCCCAAGGGCCACTCCGGTTGTGAGTTGAATCCAACTAGTGGCGAAATAGCCGGAGCCAAGTCTGTCTCCCGGAGTTTGAGTTGCTTGAACGCATCATAATACATGATCTCGACCGAGCTTCCCTGATCGATCAAGATCCGTTTAACATCAAATTCCTTGACGCGCAGTGTTACTACTAGGGCATCATTGTGTGGCGTCTGGATACGCTCTAGATCCTTTGAGGTGAAACTAATCACGTCTTTTTCTTCTGTCTTCCCCCTTTTGATGGCAGGCTGTACCGACAAAACTTCCCGTATATGTTCTTCTTTTTTTATCATGCCCCGGAGTTCGCAAACACGCTCCGGTTCTATGATGTCGTGGATGACATTAATGACTCCCTGTGGTGGTGCGTCTCAGTCATCCTGTCCCCTGGGATCGACCGGAGCCTGATTCGGCTTTACGCCGCCAATGTAAAGATCTAGATGCCCGACCGCGACCAGCTCTTCTAAGTGTTGCCGCAAAGGAAAACAATCCTCTGTTCGGTGGCCCCTCTCCCGGTGGAATGTGCAACGATACCGCGGATTGTAGCCCTTCTGTCCATCGCCCAACTTAGCAGGAAACCGGACATACTCCTCGTCTCGGATTTCACTAAGTATGCGATAAATTGGAATCTTGAAGACCGTGGTGATGCTAGTCCTCGCCTTCAATCTTCTGTTAGCATCCGCAACATCATCTCGGGCGTAGTCATCCCGGTCGTTCCGACGTCCTCGACCCCGATTTTTGTGATTCGAGCCACAGTCTGATTCCTCTGCTTGTTCATTTGTGCTGCTGGACTCTTGCCCAACTGCGTGCACTTTGCCTGCTGTCTTCTTGTCTGTTGCTACCGGAATTGCCTTCACGGTAGAAGCTGACGCGTCATCCTCTACTCGGATGTGCTCATTGATGCGCTGCATGAGCTAGCCCATGGAGGTCGGTTGGTGCATGGTCAGCGAGTCCCGCAATCTATGGCCGACCGGGAGACCACGCTTACATTGCGTGATTGCGAGGTTGACCGGGCAGTCCAAGATCTCGTTGAAGGTTTCCCAGTACCTTGAGTTGTACGCCTTCAGTGTGTCGCACGGTTCCATCTTGACACTTAGCAAGTGATCGACTTCCTTCGGTGTTTTTGTGTTGGTTTTGAAGCGTGTAACAAACGCCTCGACCAACTGATGCCACCTCTGTATGCTCCCTTCCGGCAACCTCTCGAACCACTTTAAGCCCAGCTCGCCTAAACTTGATGGGGAGATTAGGCACATAAGTCCGTCATTTCGCCTATGTCCGGCCATAACCTGTCGGAAGTGGCTCACATGCATGTAAGGATCGGTTTTTCCATCGTAGAGTGTCAACTTAGGCTGGTGGAAGCCTGCCGGAAGCGGTGTTGTTTCTATTTCCAGGGAGAAAGGGGTGGCGCTCAGCCTGGCCCAGTCTGTATCTTCAAAGAGTGGCACTGCTTGGCGGGGTGGAGGCATTCCGACCTCCTCGCTGGCGTGAACCCCATAGGATAACCGCTGGAACGCTGGTATTCTCTGAGCTTCGCGCCGGCGAGCCCGCTCCTTTAAGACTGCCCGCAAATCCTCTGATTAAGCGGAGTAAGAGTACCTCGACGTCGTCTCCGGACGTGAGGGTCTGTAGGTGTTGTCCTGCGCGCTAGACTTCTCTGCACCCGCGTCGGAATCACCAACCTGGTAACTTCTGGTAATAGATATGGACTGAGTACGTCGCTGACTCTGTCCGCCTGAACGACGGGATGGGGTGCGCTCACTGTGGTCTCCCACTCCAGCTACTCCTTTCCCTTTGACATGCCGCTTCAGATCCTCCATCTCCGCCGCCATTCGCTGGATGACAGCATCTTGGTCCCTCAACTTACTTTCCAGTCGCCTGGTGTGTGAGTCTCTCCTCCGCCGGTGACCGTCTGGACTCCGCGAATGACCATGACTTCTTCTGCGCTTATCCCGCGCGTTTACTGACTGTCCTCCAGTGGGCGTCCCCAAGTCCGCCATTGGATGGATGGCGGGAGGACCTTCTCTCCTTCGGGTGAACTCCGGGATGGCTCCGTCTATGGCAGACAACGGAAACTCGTCGTTGTTCGCCATGGACGGTGATCAGATGAACCTGGAAGACAAGGTTTTGTTTTTGCTCAGCAAGTCGGACTCAGCGACTAAATTTACTAAAAATATTTTACTCAGCAAGTCGGTCGTTAATAGTAAATTTCAGCGACTAAAAAGTAAATTTTTATTTTTCTTTCAGCGACTAAATTATTTTATTTTCCAAAATTATCTATACAGCGACAAAAATATTTTTTAGTCACTAAAATTACATTTTTGCCGATCAAAATTTTCGTCGCCAAAGATAAAAAGTAAATTTTTCTTTTTCTTTTGGCGACTAAATTAATTTAGTTGCCAAAACTATCTATATAGCGACTAAAATATTTTTTAGTTGCTGAAATTACATTTTTACCGACCAAAATTTTGGTCTCCAAAGATAAAAAGTAAATTTTTATTTTTCTTTCGGCAACTAAATTATTTTAGTTGCCGAAACTATCTATGCAGCGACAAAAATATTTTTTTAGTCGTCAATTGTGGCAAATTTGGAGACTAAATTATTTTTAGTCCCAATTGTGAGATTTTTAGCGACTAAATTTTTTTTTAGTCGCCAAAAATTAATATACCCTGACTAAAAAAATTTATTAGCTAAATATTGTACTTTTACCGACTAACATAATTTTTTGTCGCTAATTCCACTACTTTTTGCAACCAAAATATTTTTAGTCGGCAAAAGTGGTCGCCAATTGTGTATTTTCTTGTATTGTTATCAGTTATACTAAATTGATACAAAATTTAAAATTAATGGTCAAAATTGGATTAATTAAAATTACATAGATCAAAATGACATAAAGGCCAAAATGCAGAGACTACCAATATAATTTACTCTTATTATTTTTCTTTTTTTTGGGTGAAGGGAAGAGGGAAAAGGGAAAGAAATATGTTGCACCCTAGAATAATTTCATAATCAGTCTTTTAAGGGGACACATCCTATAAGTAGAGTGTATAGCATGGCATGCATCAAATATGTGATTGATAATGTGTTACCTCATAAAAAATGACATGAATTACCAAATTCAATTGTGTTTTAATTGTGACCCAATTAAATTGGTGGAAGTTATGAGGTATTATGATTAAAGTTAGGCTGTTGCTACCCTATTTCCACCAATAGATGATTTTATGAATCTTCTTTATGATGGTAAAAATTGTTGATTTTTGACCTCATTTTATTACACATTGCATTTACGAAAACTGATTAGGTTCATCATTACATTTTTAGAAAGAGAGGTGGGCTAAAATAATTTATTAAAAGATAAAATAGGTTAAAATAGCTAATAAGGTCTTGTTTGGAAATATATTATTTTAATAATTTTTTGACTAAAATATGAGGTAAAAAAAACTAATATGTTTGAAATTACATTTTTTATTTTTTACGAAAAGGTGTGTAAAAAATAGAAAGAAAAAAATCTTTGACTTTTGATATAGGTTATAAACTTTTTGATTTTTTTAGTAATTTTAATCAAAAAAAATAAAACACTATTCTCTCACAAAAAAATAAAACACTATTCTCTCACAGAAAAAAATGCTATTTTAATCACAAAAAATAAAATATCACATTCAATTCATAATCATTACACTATTCTCTCACAAAAAAAATAAAAAAAATTAAAAAGCCCTTCCCAAACCAAGCTTTTTAGCCCAAGCTAAAATAGCTAAAAAAATCAAAAAGCCAACCCACTTTCCAAACGGAAGCTAAGCCTTCGTTTGAGAAGTGGTAGGCTCCGTTTAGAAAGTGGGTTGGCTTTTTGATTTTTTGGCTTCGGTTTTCACTCGAGGTAGGAAGAACACACAGTAAGCCAGGCAAATGTACAAAAGAATGGGAGGGATGACACAAACTGAAATAGAAAGCCTTGAAGGTGCTAACACAGCATATGTCCCTGTAATGAATGCCACCAACATTGCAATCAGAGCACAAGTAGTAAGAATAAAAGCTAAAGCAATTTGCTTATTGATTACAATCGGGTTGTCAGCAATATTATAGAGTTGGGTAAGCACTGCCAAAACGGATAATGTCAGGGCAATGGTATCTGTTATCACAAAAGCCATGAAAGCTGCTTTTCTTGTTAGAATTGCCATTCCTTGGTTCGGGTCTTTGCTATCAACAATGTAGCCACCAGGCATGGTGATACCTGCTGTGAAGGTCACCGTTGCTATAAGTGTAGCCACTATCGAAATGGTTTCCTTCCATTTTGAGAAGTTTGCGAGTTCAAAAACAGATCCAGTTTCCTGTAAGAACAAAAACAAAAACTAAATTATAAACGTAAAAAAAATGGTAAATACTAGTGTTTGAAGTTTGACTACTCAAATTACCCTCCCATCTCTTTGATATTCTGTTTGAAGAATGTCCCAAGCTTCTTTCGCTTTTGTAGCTTCTATGATTCTTAGAAAGATCCAGTCTGAGACGCCTTGCTGGATTTGAGAAAGAGCTGCAGCATCCCTCTTTTGTCTCTCCCTGTCACTCTCATCATCGCACCCATTCTCTACCGTTTCCCACAAATCCATAGATAGAAATAGAGTTCTCATCTTCACCTTCCAAAACGTGTAGTTCGTACCATCAAAAATTGGAATTTTGGCTGCCATGGAGTTTTAAGGATTTTCTTTCTTCACCTTGGACCTGATATCGCTTCTACAAACCAACAACTCTGATACCAGATGGCAGCCTTTTGTGTAGGCCTATGCAAGTTAGTTGTTGTTTCAGTATTAGAATTGAACAAAACAAACGAGAACTTGACCAGACTTTAGCAAGAAGAATAGAAGTAGATTTTTCAGCAGCAAAGCATCAAGTATTTATACATTGATTCTTCACAACTTGATGTCTAAAGAAGTGTACAAAATATCAAACCATAGAGATTAACTATAGTTTACAAAACTTAACCACACATATCTATGGTTACAGCTGTCATGCAGAAAAAGTTAATTAATCACTAATTGTCAAAAATCAGATTGAATTGAAGGGCAGATGTGATGTGTATATATAAAAAAATTAAAAAGTCAATATCTTATTTAAGTCATTATTTTATTTAAATCACATCATTTTTATATCATATTACTTCAAACATAATCTATATTCAACTCATATTTCATAAAAAGTCAAAAAGTGCACTTATTTAAAACATGCTTAAATTTAAATTTGATATGGTGTGTGTAGGCATTCTATTTTGACTGAACTTAAGATTTGGATACTTTTTTTTGAACACCCGATAATGAAAATAAGAATATGCTTACAAAATTTTCAGTGAAAAGATAGAATTTAAGCTTTAATTTACTCCTTTATCTGTTTTGGCCAAAATATTTTAAATCGGTTTTAACTTAAATTGTATATATTTGAATCATTAAAATATATTTTATTAGTCTATTTACTTTTATTTTATAATTTTATATGTTCTTGTGTATCTTTTTAGGTATTTATATATATATATACAAATAATATTTTTATATATTATTATATTATAAAATACATAGTAAATTTATGCGATACACAGTAATCTTTTGAAATCATTCCCTTCTCCACCGAATTTTTTTTTGTCTTTTTCTCAATTTTTTTTTTTCCAACATGTTTTGTTCTTTTCTTTTCTTTTTTCTTTTTTTTTCTATAGAAAGGCAGGCGGGGGGAGGGAACTGGGGAGGAGAATCAAATACAAAAAAAAAATTTGTTTTCAGATAGGAGAAAAAATAAGGAAAAAGAGGGAGAGGGAGAGAGAGAGAGAAAAAAAAAGGGAAGAAATTGACTTTTAAAAGAGGGGAAAAAAAGGTCTGAAATATATATATATATATATTTTTACCAAACCTTTCTTTCAATTCTCTCCATCATCTTTTCACTAATACACCATTCAAAAAATACCATTAAAGTTGAAATTCTAAACTTTAGACTAAGAATTAAAAACATATTCCACAACCTTGAGGATAATCAGAAGAAAGTTTGGAATTTAGAAAATTCACCATTTTTCCAAAAGGTGAATTTTTCCAAACTTTCACTCAATAAAATGTGATATAAACTGTGATAAACTATTTTGCCGCTTTGAATGGCCGGTTTCAAACCACCTACATAAACTATTGTAATTTACTGTTTTACATAAATTGTTGTAATTTAGCACTTTAAATAGTCGGTGTTTCACCACCTACACAAACTGTTATAATTTACCGCTTTAAATGGTTGGTGTTTCACCACCTACGTAAACTACTATAATTTACCGCTTTAAATGGTCAACGTTTCACGACCTGCATAAATTGTTATAATTTATTGCTTTATATGATTGGTTGAACCACCTAATTTTTTAGAGATGTGACCCTGCCGGAATAGTTACCGCCGAAATAGTGACCAACAGATGAATAGTATGCACCAGAAGAATAATCCGCCGAATGAATAGTGCTCCGAATAAATGTGTTTTCTCCGGCGAAACAGAGCAGTCACCCAATAGCAAGTAGAACAATTTTCGATGATGCCATTATGATACCTAATGAAGCCAATGTTCGCCATTCATGCCCATATCGACGAGGCAAGAGTGTGCCCACGTATGCTGTTCCATGATCGTATCGACGAGTTATGTTCTTATCAAGTGTTGCTTTTCCATACCCGTATTGACAAGTCATGGACGTATTAAATACCAAGCGGTGCCATCCCATGGTCGTATCAACAAGTCAAGGGGTTTAATAGATGCCATTTCACGCTCACATTGGCAAGTCATAGGGTTTACGTGGCAAGTGGTACCTTTTCCATACTCGCATCAACAAGACATAGGGGTTGTAAATACCAAGTAGTGCCTTTCCATGCTCACGTCGGCAATACATGGGCGTTTAAATGCTATTTCATGCTTGAATCAGCAAGACGTAGGAATTTAGATGCCAAGTGGTGCCTTTTCATGCTCGCATCGACAAGACATAGGGGTTTAAACGCTATTTCACGCTTGCATTGGCAACACGTGGGAATTTAGATGCCAAGTAATGCTTTTCCATGCTTGCATCAGCAAGACATGGGGTTTAAACGCTATTCCACGCTCGTATCAGCAAGATGTGGGATTTAGATACCAAGTAGTGCTTTTTTATGATCGCATTGGTGAGACATGAGGGTTTAAATGCTATTTCACGTTCACATAAGCAAGACATGGGAATTTAAATACTATTCCACGTTCGCATCGGTAAGACATGGGGATTTAAATACTATTCCACGCTCGCATCGGCAAGACGTGAGAATTTAGATGTCAAGTTGTACCAAGTGATTCTAAACTTTGCCAAGATGTATTAAGGCATTTTACTAGGATTTTGCCAATTGTTTGCCGAAATGTATTACACGATGCCAAGTTTTGCCAGAATCTTGCCAAGTGTATTAAATGGTGCCAAGTTTTACCAAGTGAGTGCCAAAATTTACCAAGTGATGCTAACTATTTTGTCAAAATTTTGCCAATTATTTGTCAAGTAGGTGTCGAAATTTACCAAGTGGTACCATGATGCCAGATGTGATTTTGAGGAATTTTATGTCATTGTGAGAAAATTGATGATATATCCAATCTAAAGAGGGTGCAAGGCATTAGGTCTATAGATATTTTTATTGGTGAGAGGTCCACCATTTGTAAAAGAGTTTGGTGAGAAATCCTTTTGTTAGTTTTAGAAGACATTTTCCAATTTGACCTCCTTAATTTATCTGTTGACTATTTTTTTTTATCTATTTAATTTTTTTGACTATCTGTTCAATTTTTTTTCTATCTGTTCAAATTTTGACTATCTGTTCAATTTTTTCTTCTTATCTGTTCAAATACCTGTCCACATTTTATTATCTGTTTAAATATATATTTTTTTAATTTTGTTTATCGGTTGAAATACCAAGTCAAACCAAGTTCTATTTGTTGAAATAGAAAGCCAACAACAATGGTTAATAAACCTATCTGTCTAATTTTTTGAATATTATTTGAAAGTCGCTATCAAGAAATGATATTAACATGATACCAGTAATCATATTTTTAAATGCTGCTATGTGTTTATTTATTTGAATGTCGAAATGGGTTTCTCACCTAATCCTACTAATAGCAGATGCACACAAAGCATCACAATTAATTAACAATTAATTACGTAAATGGAGGTTTATTCTATTCTTATTAGAGAGAGAAAGGGTTTATCATATTTTTTTTAAAACAAATTTCAACGAAATTTAATATTGAAATTTAAATGATAAATGCTTTTGTAAATAAATAAATTAATTAAAAAATAATTCTGAAATGAATAAAAAAGTGAAAACTATCTCATAATTTTAATCTAAATCACGGGATAAATTTTTTTTTCTTTGGTTATTAGCTTTTATAATAATTTTTTTGCTTTTTGTGTTTTTAACTTTTTATAATAGTTGCATTCACCCGACCGTAAGAGTGAGCATTGAATGTATGATAGTAGAATAAAAATTAGCATAAACATCTCACATATTATCCTATATTTTATATTAATGTTTAAGTATTAAAATTTTGAAAAACGATCGAAACCAATCGCATAAAATAATTGTCGTCCATATCACATGATTGGACTTGTTACTATTAAATATATAATTCACCAGGTTGTTTCACTTTTGTTATGTGAAATTATGTAGAAACTATTTAGTAATTAAAAGGTGAAGAAATAAAACACCCAACTAATATTATAAGAAATCATGAACATTTTTTTATTTGTTCATTGAAATTGACAAACAAGTTCATACCATTAGTTTTTTTTTTTTTTTTTTTGGTTTTGAAATTAATTAAAACCAAGAGGGAAAAAAAATTAATTTCAACTAAGAAGAATGAACAGGCATCAACTAATAAAGGGACAAAACGTATTTCACTTAAAAAATTTAACTTAGATCAAAAAAAAAATTAGTGATTTCAAGAAAATCCAATCAATTCGTATGTATTAATATGTGAGTTTGAAAAGCCACTAATCACTACAAGAAATAACACTTTTGGCAACCAACTTTTTGGTCGCAGAAAGATCAAATCTGGTCGCTAATAGTTTTTAGCGACCAAAAAAAGTTGGTCGCAATTTAGTCACTAAAAACCCGTCAGAGAAGGTTTTTGGCGACCAAAAGTGAAGTTGGTCTCAGAAAACTATCATTTGCGATCACATATTTTGGTCGCGGAAAGGACTTGAATTTGTCAAAAGTTGATCGTGTTGCGACTAATAATTTGGTCGCTAAAAGTTAACTTTTAGTGACCATCTATTTTGGTCGCTGAAAGATTACATTAGTGACCAAATATTTGGTCACTAATAGGATTTAAACTTGTTCAGACTGAGAATTTGCGACGAAAATATTGGTTGCGGAAAGAAAGGTTTTCGCGACCGAGAAGAAAATTGGTCGCAGAAATTGAGTATTTGCAATGAAAACATTGGTCGCTAAAAGTAGGGTTTTGGCGACCAAGAAGAAAGTTGGTCGCGGAAAGGTTTGTTTTTTCTGCGACCAACTTTGGTCGCCAATAGTCATTCCTAGAACCTTATTGCAACTAAAATCGTATTGGTCTCAAAAAAGCTTTTAATTTCAAAAATGATTTTTTTAAATATAATGCTAAATTTTTTGTAACACCTATAATACATTTGCAATTAATACATAATTCATGTCCATCCAATCAATTTCAATATACCAATCTATCAACAATCCAATCTAAAAACAAAAAATCATCAATTATAAAGTCAAAATAGTAGTTAATGAATGTATTTACAACCACCCGTCAATATTAACACATTACACGTCCAAAATAACCATCCATCCTTACAACGAATTCACCACATCAAAAATATTTAACAAAACATCAAAGATTTC